CTAGATAGGCAACATATGAAAAGAAAAAAAAGGCAGGAGGAAAACATTGATTTACAAACCTTAAGCCTTAATTAAAAATTGATATTTTGCTTATGAAAGCATTGTAATGTTTACTAATAATCTGCCAATATTTGTTAACGTTCACTTACTAATTTGAAAGTTACAGCATGAAAACTATAACAAGCACAAAATGGTTATGAGGTCAGTCCCAGGGACCAAGCCTGTGCTGAAAGAGTTAAAGCATAGTACTTTCATAATAAAAATAAATAATGAAAGAAAATCTATGCATCAATGTCAATGTTAACTGTTCTTTTTCCTATATAACCCTTTAACATCTAGCTGATACATATCTCTCAACAAAAAGTGTAACACTTTTGATGGAGAGATGGAAAAATCATACAATTTACATTACCACTAACTTTATAGCAATTGGTTCTTTATCAGTTTTTTCATGTCCTAAAACAGATGTTAATTAGTTGTTCATGAATTTGAATTTGTAATAAGCAAAATCCTCAAATTAGTAACATATGGAAAACATGCAAATAGCTCTAAAATGGTTTAGGTGGTGATGATAAGTTAAACTTAAATTAGTGTTCTTTTCTAATCAAAATGAACAACAAATCAAACACAATAGATAAAATTGAATATAACAACAATACTGCCACTACCAATAACAGTCTGAACTTTTTACCCAATGTTTTAAAAGTACCTTTGTAACCCCAAATCTCACCTTGTTTGACACACAATATTTCAACAATGTAAATCAACACATTTCTTATAATCAACACTTATGTCACCAAACTTCCCAGTTTCTATATCACAAAGTTCTGGTTCTGACAATTTGTACACCCACCTTATAACTTCTGCAGAAATCAAAATTAACCTTTGGAAAATAAAACACAAAGCCCCAGGAAAGGACAGAATTAACAATTTAATCCTGAAAAACCTATTCAACGAAATCTTAACTCACTTAGTAACAATTTACAATTTATTGTTACCATCAGGATATTACCCATCTATTTGGAAATCAGCTAATATTAAGGTAATCCCCAAGAAAAATAATAACTAATCCCAGCAACTACAGACTTGTTAGCTTGCTAAACACCCTTGGTAAGTTGATGGAGAAATTAATCATGAATCAGATACACTTACCTTGAAACCAACAATATTATTAACAACATACAGAATTCAGGCAAAAAACATAGCCAAACCACTGACCACTTCATTAGACTCACCAAAACCATCTATCAAAGTTTCAACAGAAAGAATACAACCATAGTTAACTTTCTAGATATCCAAAAGCCTTCGATTTAGTATGGCACAATGGACTTCGCTATAAACTAATAAATAATTACATACTCACCCTTACTGCATGCTGGATATCCAGATTTCTTAACAAAAGAAAGCTAAAGTTAAGATCAACAATGCAACCTCCAGGCCCTTCACATTCAAAGCTGGTGTCCCCCAAGGATCAGTGTTAAGCCCAACATTATATAACCTTTTTGTCATCTCAATATGCAGATAATATTGCTATCTGGAGTACTTCTAGCAACCCATGTACCACTACATTTAGGGTCCAAATATAACTCAATGCTGTGTCAGATTGGTGCAAAAACTGGTGTGTAGCCCTCAACCAATCCAAATCCCAAGCTATAGCCTTTTTTTAGGAAAATAAAAGTAGGAAGAAGCTTCATAATCTCCAGTTAACCCTTAACAATTCAGGCACTTATCAGACAGAATATCTGGTGCCAAATCAGCAAAATTATTTTTATTGGATCTATAGATCCCTGCTCTGAGAAGAACCACTCCCCTTAATACTTTCAATATGGGCTCAGTCAATTTGACTGACCACATGACTTTTTTCTCCTCATTTAAAGTCTTTATAGGTTTAATACTTATAACTCTCAATACAGTGGGTATATCTTCACGACATTTGGCAGTCTTTCAGCTGGTATTACAAGTCTTTCACATACAAAAACTGATATTTCTTAGTTAAGTATTTTAATAAAATAGATTTGTCTATTAATATATTGAGTATTTGTTTTGGGTAGTCCATGTGCAGTAATTTTCATGTTAAAATTAAAATACTTTTTCTCATCTCAAAAATCTTAAATTTCCTTTGTGTAATCCCTAAAACCTCCTAAATGCATTTCAAGTTTTTTTCCAGTAAAACTTTATAGTTTCTCTTTTCTCAACTCTATCTCAAAATGGGGTCAGCCAAATTGACCGACCTCATAACTACCAAAAAAAAAATCGAAATAAACCTAAATTAACCACTTTTTCTTTCTAGAAATTGTAACGTAAAACTACATTCGTTTATCCTAAGTAGCTCTAAGTTTGTAACAGTATACATTTATTTATAATTAAATTTTATTGTTTTATTGCCCTTTTAACCGTGTCTGACTACTATCTGCACCATTATAAGTTGTAAATCACTTGCGGATGTACATTACCCACATTACTATTACTTATTTTACCTAATCTAGTCTTATATAACTTTAGATGATCTGTATCTTCAGATTCTAGTTACTTTTACAATAATAAATATGAAAAACAAGAAATAAAGAGTTAACCCTAATTGTTTATACTATAGATAGTAATGTACTTGATAATTTTTATCTAATTAAATAATACGCCAAAGAATATAGACTACTAACATGTAAAAAGTAGACAAATCACTTACCTCTCAAAATTTTCCTGGCTTTCTAACTATGTGACAAAAGCCATAACAAATTATCAGTTGACCCTAGCCCAATGGGACTAGCCGACTGACC